AATCATTTTTCTCAAATTTCATATTTTGACAACTATGCAAACTATCATTTTTACATTATATCTCATTTCCTATTCGCCTTATCTTAGTAATGATTTTTCAGAATACGGTGTTCAGTAAAGTGGTGTAGATGAGTGAATAAAACTAATTTAAGTTAGAGGGATTCAGTGCAACTGTGTAGCTTGCTGGCTCTGACAAGGAGTCCTGTTTCATTTGGTGAAACTCTTTTCAGCGATTCAATGGTGATGTTTCATTCAAGGGAATCGTAGACCAACAAGAACAATAAACAACAGAAAGAAACAGAAAAGAAATCCTGCTGCCAAAAACTGTAATGAAAATCCAAGTACTTTGAAACATAAGCTCTGCAAATTTCCTCTATTAAGCCCCAGTAAAGTCCCAAGTGGAAACACACTCTATTCTCTTACTCTTGACAGGTTAGGTTTCCGCTGCCCCAGCGACCCTGAACTGGTTACATCAGTTTAGAAGATGGATGAGATGTAACTACATTTGTCACTGTTGTCGATTTGGTCGTGTAAAAACAGGGAATCAGGCTGTCTGTGCTACTGATTACCGAGTAGCTCATGTAATTCCACATCCGGAAGTTTTACATGTTGCTCTGACACTGGTTCTTACACACCCATAATTTACGAATTAACAGTTAGCTCCCTTTATTATCATTCGGCTCTTATACAGATGTACAAGAGAGAAGGAAATATAGTGTCTCCTGGGCCGAGGTGCACAATGCACTGGAGCAGTCAGCACAGTGTCACAGAACAACACAGCAGAACACACATGAGGGGGGAGGACCGAGAATCATTAGCCGCTACTGAGGTAGAATTGGTATGTAAGTAAAAATAAAACAATGCAGACAGTAGATACATAGATAAAGAATCTTAATTAAACAATGAAAAGAGATTCAAAGATAAAACATAAATACATTAGTGGTTCTAGAAACACAAGATTAGAAAGTGTGCAGAATTTCTAGCTGGTATTCTAGAACATTTAAATTTATCTGGTGACTAGAGAGGAAAGTCAAGAGGTGGTTGCGAACTAGGCTAGACCTAAAGTGGAGCTGGTTAAAGGAGCTGGGAGTGGCATTAACTATGATAAATCCAATTGCATCTAGATACTGTATTTAATTTTGTAGAAAGAGAAAGCATATTATTAATGCTTCCCAAACAAAAAGCAGTCCTATTTTTTGGAGCACCCGATGAGACAGACAAGACTTTTGTTGTGAGGACAGCGTTGTAATAGATGAGATTAAATCAATTTTAATAGATATAGGTAGTTAGGCAGGCAGACAGACATGACACAGACACAGGTTTCTCTTTGGGAAGCTGACTAGAATAAGGCATGCCAGCACTATGGCAGCTGTTCTTATCAAACCAGTCTCTGACCCGTGTACAAGAATAAATGGAAGCACCGTTATTGTATCTATATCTAGGAGGAAAGACAGGATGTTCTCAAAGCAGAAATGCTCCTGAATTAACTATAGTACAGTATGTCCTTGGCCAACTGAAGGATTCCTCCCGATGAAATATAGAATAAATTACATATGCATCTTTGGATATTAAGTAGCACCGATTCCGTCTTTTTAAAACATTAAGATTTATTAATGACATAAGCATTCTTGAAAGTAAAAAAGAATGGTTAAGAACCAACCTAATAATAGTTGAAAATGGATAAAGCTTAAAATATAGTATACTGATAAGGAAGCAGAGGGGAGACTATAGAAATACCAATATTTTAAGTTTTCTAGGGGAGTACGTACTGTACTGCTGTAATCATTTTTCACAGGTCACAGACAGCAGAGCCAGAGGCCAAAAGCTGAATAAGGACAAACAAAGCAGATGTGAGAAGAAATGTTTTCCTTGAAAGCATAATGAATCGCTGGAACAATATATCAGATGATGTTGTAAAAGCAGGAAGCTTTCTGATCATCAAAAAAGACTGCATGCTGTTATACAGCCTTTTCAGTTACCAAATGAAGTCCTATAACTAGCCTGTCCAGAGGAAAGGCAATCTGTCAAGTCTCAGTAGTCAGTCTGCTTCACCCTACTAATCTTGTTTTCATGTAATGTTTCTGGCTAGCATTGAAGTGAACAAGCATGGGCGAGTGCCCTTTCCTCATCCAGGAGTTTCTCATTAAAAAAATTACCACATACCTTTTTAATCGATTCAGCTATAAGTTAATTTAATTAGCGCACAACCTATTTCAAAGCCTCGAAGAGTGAAATGGGGTATTAACATAATGCTGAATAATATAATTTCACATAAATGCATTTAAAAAAAACTGTAAGTACTGTGCAAACTACTACAGACTTAGAACAGCAGTAATATGAAGGGTCTTTTTAAAGAAAGTTGAAGAAAACTGGATCACATCCAGCCATTTCTAGAAAGAAGCCAGGGTGTCATCTTGAACAACACTGCCGGACTTGTTCCATTCTCTCACAACACTTTGTGTAATGAATTCTACACTGCATTTGTTTGTTTTTTTGAACTTTTTGTAGACAAGATTAGTTAAAACTAGAAAGGTAAACAACTAAACACAGCTTGTTGTGAGCTTTGGAAGGTAATTGGTTACACCAGATTTACAACTGCTATTATTAAGGGGGGGCTACACTTATCCAACCTATTTTTCTAGGTTTTCATGTGTAATTACTTTTCAGAATGTTTTAGCTTCTGTTTTTCACTTGGAAGCTGTGATACAATGTGTAAATAAAAATAAAATACAGCACATGTTTAAATAAATGGTTCTGATTTAATGTGTCATGGTTTCAGGCTGTTAGGCTGCAAAATGTATTACATTGGAAAGGGTGTGTAGACTTTCTATAGGCACTGTGGTTGGTATAAATACTGATATTACTCACAGTACTTTTAACCAGGCTCAGAGATGTTTTATATTTAACTCCACTTCTTATGATGTGAATGCTTTGAGTACTCAATTGGAAAAGACTTTACATACAGTATGTCTCAGAAAATAGTTAAGTAGTAGTAACTGACGCCTTAGGCAACTAAAACACACAACAGAGGACACAAGACCCTTCAGGAAAGGAGTCAGAGAGCTCTGGTTTAGTGAGAGAAATAACTCTCAGGACACGGGAATATGGACAATCTGCCTTCACTGCAGCTGCTGCAGAGGCAGCCTGACTGGTGCTCACCCCCTAGCTTCATACAGAGTGATCACTGCCCAGCAAACTGCCTCCAAGCCTGAAAGTTTTACAACGTGTTGGAAATACTGCAACACAGTAGCTGCAGAATACAAATTTTCTGTAGCTTACATTTTTCTCCACCTGAATTCCTGCTGAAGCCGTATTTCTAGAGATGGTTAAGGGAATAAGGACTATAGTATAATTTGCAATTCTCTGAATTGACCTCTGACACTCTCGGACTAATGTTCTGGCACGCAGAAATGCTTGTTTGTACTCCAAGTCTGAGTCTTGCATTCCCTTGTTTTTTTCTCTTGCCAGTTATGTCTTTGAACCACACTGTTGAATTTAACCCTCTACCAGCTGCAACATCACAAGGCTGAGCTCTTGTTAAAAAAACATCATTAAAACAATCTTTTGAGATGTTTATGTTTAAAAATACATGAAAAATCTTTGTAGTAAACATATCAAGATAGTACTACATACACGTTAGTGGTGAAATATTTATTAATTGGTCTGTGTCTGCAACATGTGCCATGCATGACAGATACAGCTGATATCACATTCAGCAATGGGAACACACATCAAAGTCAGGGAGGACACAGCATGGACAGCCCAACCTATGCAGCATTTCCTTGGATTGTGGAGGAACAGTGCTTAAAAATTTAGATGAAGACGACACTGACACTGCCAATCTAACTGAGGATCTTTCAACAGAGCAAGGTGCACAACTTCTCAAAATAAATAAATATACAAAGACTTCTAATAAAACTAATAATAACTGATTTTGAACAGTGGACACAGTAAAATAATAAGCTTTTGAAATGTATTTACAACTTGTTTCCAGTAGTTACACTGGAACTTTACTGACATTAAACACTGGATTTACCAACAACCCTAAAACATGTTTGCTGTATCACAAACAGATGATTTTGTTAATGAGACTACCAAATACCCCCAAACAAATCAAGCAACGTGGTTTTCCACAACAGCATGTGAATGTTCATGTGAAATACTATTTTAATAAGGTCTTCTCTTTTCTTAACAAGAAAAAACACTTTTCAAAGTTGCTCTGCCATTCAGTTCATATTGATTTGGACACACTACTATAATTACACCATTATGTCTGCGCTTAGAGCACAGATGGGAAGCAGTAGCCTGAGGTTTATTACCAGTAGGTTATCACTCCTAATTTCTTTGCACATATTTTTGCCACCAATCGCAGAACCATGCTGGTGCGCAAAGACCCTGCCAGAAAGCACCTGGCACTGCTGATACAAAAACCACTTTGCAATAAGCTTTTCTCTTAAAGTGCACAGGGGCTCACATTTAACAAGTAATTAGCTACAGAAACAAGATATGCACAGATGGGTTACAAACAAACCCCATATGTATTGGATCTGAAAGCCTATAATCTCATGAGATACATTTCATATTTCTGTTTCATGTATACATGCAGTACCTTCTAATTAAGTTCTTTTTTACCAGTTTAAACCAGTTTACTGCAGATTATTTTAGTGTTAAAATTATACTCTTTTGGCAGTACTAAGAATGTTTTCTGAACTTGAAAGAAACTCAAGTTCATTTATACATGAATACTTAAACTGATGCACTGTTTTACACACATTTCACATTCATTTGAAAACAATATAATCGAGTCTGTAGATCCTGTCATGCAACTTTCAAAGAAGATAAAGTATTATCATTCTTATATAATTATCATGGGAACATAAGAGACCTCTCAAGAATTAAACGACTATTTTCTGCAGAATACTCAAATATTTATGGAGTGTTCCAGGTGTTAATGGATGACAAAAATGTCCCTTTTTAGAAAGCAAAGAAATGCAACAAAGCAATATGAAAACCACAATAATTTATTTTTTGCTGAAGTCCAGTGAAATACAGCTTTACATTGTACTGCAATAATGAACACACAGTGGCTGTGGTTGTGGCTGTGGCTGGCATGGCACCTACAAGAGCTGGCAGTCCTGCATACACAGTAATACAGTTTACCAAACTGCACATAGTTCAGAGTAAAGGATTCCATCCCTCCCAAAAGAGCAGTAAAATTATCATAAAGGTCTTGAGTAAAGAAGGACTGCATATATTTTTCAAAATCTGTTTTTTTTTCTGAATTTTACAAACATAATGAAATGTATTTAACCTTTTATTTTAATATTTTACAAACATCCTCCTGCTTTACATTCCCCTCCTGTTTTCCCTCCTTACAGACTGGCTTAACATGCTGTACCGTGGCCTCAGAATAACACTTACAGAGGTAATCGTAAAGGACACCAGCGGCTCTCCGGCACAAGCGGAAATTGTTTTATTCTGTTTATTTTTGTTTTTCGCCCCTATTATAATGAGACTGACTTTCAATATGTTGATATCAGAACTTCAATTTTCCAACGTTTCACTGAAGAAAAGAAGAGAAGAAGCTATTTCTCCCTGCTTCAGCAATAGAGAGTGTGTCTGAACATTTTTACAGGAGGACCCTGAAACATCCTCCAGAGTTCTGCTGTGAAAAAGGCCCTCAGGTGCCCACGATCTCCAGGCACAAGAGTACAGTACCCATAAAGACTTGTACTGATTGAGCTGCAATTGCTAAACATTCTCAGATCAAGCCCTGGCACTCTTGAGAAAACAGGTATGACAGATCTTGTTCAGGAGACAGTATTAGCTCTTTTGCATCTTTGTCACAATTTAACCACACTAGAAACGTTTACTTTAACTTCCAAAGTTTGGTTATTTTTTCCCGTGGACTAATATATATATATATTATAGAGATGGAATAGTGGGACAATTTGGGAAACATAAAAGGATTCATTTTTGCAGAACAGTACAGGGTACAAACTAATGATATACAAGCTGGTGCAATGTTAAGGTTATAGCTTATGAATACAGAAAATAAAAATGGCAAGGAATACAATACATTTCAAACTCTCTCCCATCCCAAACAACCAACTAAAAAGCCTGTCTTTATGGTACCATTCTCAGTAAGAAACAGACACAAAATCTTCTATACTAATATTCAAAGCACTATACAAATTCAGTTGTTCTACTTAAAAGCATAAAATACAATCTGTACATCAGTTAATATTTTGACCTTAATAAAAATAGATCACCTTTCAAAATGTAGTTGCTCCATGTTGTAAGGTGATCCACTCTCTCACCAGCCCACAACTTTATCATTATTGCTTTATAAAATAATTAGCACTAGAAGGGTCATGACTGAGCAACTGAATATACTTTTGAACTTCTCAAAAAATAATTTCCAAAAACAAATTTTTGCCAATGATTGACTACGTCAAGTGTAAGTTATAAGGCAAAGGGTCTTTGGGACAAAGTCTTGACATATCTGCTAAATTCACAGCTGCACTAAATTTAAGGCATCACTGCTATGAGCATAACATGTTCAAATACTGTAGATTTTCCAAAGTGACATGGTGAGATTTAGTTTTGAAATTCACGTTACAGATCTTGAATGAACGTTACAATGAGCTCACTAACTCGGTTTCCCTCCAGGGGGGGTAAACACAGAATGATCTGCAATCCCTGCAGACTGGGATTGTTTCTCATTTTAAAAAAACCATTCCACTTTTTTGTGTACAGCACCCCCATCTGTAGGCAGCATGTTGAAAACAGAAGGCTTGATAAATGCACAAAGCCATCTCTTTATTATTTTGTCAGACGAAGACTCAAACAGCAGCATCCATTATGCAGATACAAAACATAAAAGGGCAAATTAGTGATTCTCATTACTGAAATAATTCCAGTCCTGAGGGCAGAACGTGGCTGCTAGGAGACCTTGCACATGGAATGTAACTTTTGTACTTCACTGCTGGTAATTCCCATATTGACCCTGTGAAGAAAAATGTCCGTGTTAATGCAATTTGTCTATTCAATTAATGCATTTTATATGTTTTAAAAATAAATGTGTAGGAAATTCCTCAATGGCATGTTGATGTTGTCAATGTTATTAAATCAGATGATTCTTTCAAGATCATATTTAAATCTATACTCTAACAGACCAGCAGATGGAAGCATGGCTCTATGAAAGAAAATCTATACATGACAAATGGAAGTGAGCACTTTTTTTTTAAAGAAACAAAGCAAATGGTACCAAGATTAAAATTACTGTTTATCTGATATGTAAAAATTGTTCATCATTTTCAAATATGCATGACAATTCAGCACTTACATGTATATTTCTAAACAGGGGTCGAAACTGCTTTGTTTCCTACGGTAGCCAGGTGGGTTTGTAAGTTCCAAGAATTAATAGAAAAAAAGCAATTAAGAGCAACCATTTTAAATTTGTTCTGAGTCATTCCAGTCTGATGTGGCTTCATAATTTCCAGTGAGGAAAGAAGGCAGGAATGAGTTATTTTCCAGAGTAACTGCCACATCAAGGAACAGAACAGCCTTCTTTATCAAGTCAATACTTTCATCCGTTTGAACACTTAAAAAGTGCGAAGGAGAACGGCTACAATATCAGCTTTTCCTTTGGTTTATGCAGCACACAACAGTTTAATTTGATAGTATCCTTTGCCTGGAAAGTGGCCTTGCCATCTGCCTTCTTGAAGGACCTCAAGATATTATTTCGACCCCTGATTACAAAGCAATGTAAAAACTGTTCATTTGTTGTTGTTCTTTAATTACCATGGCTAGAAAAAGACTAGACTTCATTTCAAGGGGTTCACGATTACCATTACCTTCATGTCTTAAAGATATAGTCAGGGGTTCAAATAACCGGTCCTTATTTCCTCATGAGAGCCTGAATTTCAAAAATAAAGATATCAAAAAAAAGGCTGGGCCTCAGCTAAGGACCACATTGAATACATGGCAACACTTTGTCCTTTTCCAGTGAGACCAGTTTCCTTGAGTGGGCATGGCACAGGCATAAGGGCCAAGCGACGCTAAGCTCAGCCAACTCACTGCGTGGGTTAAGGCAGATCTCTCGACCTCCTCGAGCTACTTTCCTCCAGGCTGCAACACTAAAGGCAGGACCATTCACTGTTAACAAGACGCTGCATTTTAATTACTCCACCTCCATAACAATAAACTGAAGGTTGCATGCACAGAAAGATTCCCAACAACATTGGCCACCTGAGACATACCCTCTAGCTTTGATCATTTTAGTTATTATTACAGCAGTACTGAAGTAAGCCTTAGACTAACACACCAATTACTGATTTCTAGCTGGTTTGCTTACCTATCATGCTGCTCTTACCTGATCATAACCATAGGTGCGCTGCTGCTGTGGCTGAGGGGGGCCGGGCTGTGGAGCCCTGTAACCCCCATACTGCTGCCCCTGCCCCTGGGTGTAATTGGGGTACTGCCCCGGGGCAGTCTGAGAGGGACCTTGGAAGAAAAAAGGGGGAACTGGGTCAATACTTTTGCATGCAACATTACTAGAGCTGCTTAACACCCAGTTCCCAATAACCAAGCCTGCTTACAACACACAATAAAAGTTCACGTTTCATTCTTGTGGAATTTGGGATAATTATAATATGATAATATGGGATGTTATAAAAAAATCCAATAATTCATCGTGACTTCCTGCAATTAATATTTCATAAGAAATTATATATAACATCAAAAGTAAAGACATTAAAAATACAGTGTTACCGCATTCTCGTAGTTTAAAATATGCTGAAATTATTACAAGTGACAATAAAATGATTTGGTCCTCTAATCTTACCATTTAGCATTGTAATATCCAGTTGTAGCATGCTCTTTAATTTCTACCCCAATGAAGAATATCAGCAATTTACAAAGAACACGAATAAAAATTCTCAAAGAATGCAACTGCCTGAACATAATCTGGTTTTACTAAATGGGATAGGGGAATCCAGCAAGTTTCTCGTGTGTTGATCAAACGCCTAAGTTACTGTCCATATAACAATGACACTTTTGCAAGTATATTCAATTATATCTACACAAGGACCAATTCATATATTCTGAAACATTTACTGACAATCAGTATCTCAGTGAGGATAAGGCTATCTAAAAAGTACACTGAACTTGTACAAGTTTAGGCACACATATCCAGTAGCTGCATCTAAAGGGCAGTGCAGTGTTCTCCTATCCCCAGTAGGCAAGAGAAGCCAGCTCTGGACATGCATGAAGCGGAGTATCAGATTCTTTACTGGCTTCTAAACACACACCTTTACAGGCAGTGTTTCACCCGGCTCCCCGAGATCTAGTTACCAACTTTAAAACAAGAACTGTGTATATTAACCTTGTGGGTACTCCACATCCACTACCAGATGGTGCTGATTCGACAAGTCCTACTCTTCTAAAGTCCTAATTATCGAGACTTGAAACGCTCCTGGCGAGATGTAAGGGAAGCTGACAGGATTAAAAAAGAAGATGAGTCCCACACTGTCACTGCCCTGAGCCATTACCTATCAACTATCCTTCATCTCCTTTTAAAGTGAAAGACCCGTAGTCCGGCAGTGACCTACTGCAATCACTTCATGCGATATCAACAAATAAGGAAAGGGGAAAAAATGAAAACATTTCAATCACATTACAGCAATTCCTTCATATCAAGACAGTATGTGACAGAAGTAAAACTTGCAGATTCCAGACACAGTGCCTTAACAGAAATTCACATGCTGTATTCAGAATTGTTAAGACTGATGGTCCAGTGGTGATCCTGTAAAAAGTACTACTGTGCGATGATGAGGGATAAAGTTAAAGCATAAAGTGTATTTTTTTGGTCGTCATGTATATCTTTGTGCATCCTTCGAGGAAAAGCACTTATGCATAGATTTTTGGCAAGCATCTTGTATATGTGGTCACCTACCATAGCCTTGCTGTTGCCCTGGGTATCCCTGTTGCCCTGGATACTGCTGTTGCTGAGGCGGGTAGCCTTGCTGCTGTGGTGGTCCTTGCTGATAGGCATCCTGCTGCTGACCGTATTGTGAATTACCTACAGGACGATACAGAAACATATGAGCCAGAAACATTCCCTCACTTCACGGTAAAACTTAGCACAGCCAAGAACACAGTAATAATGACAATGCAGGGGTCTCATTGTAAAACAGATCAAACAAAACAATGAGGGGAAGAAAAGAAGAGACCTGGCCAAACAAAACTGCAGTGAAGCCCAGTGACAACAAAACACAAAATGCTTTTAAATTATTGGGAAGTTGGAACTGCAGCGTTTTTAGCATCCCTGCCAAACGAGCATTACAAGAACTTGAACATTAAAAAAAATCACGCACAGCGTAAGAGGGGAAAAAACAGCGACAATGAGCACAAACTAGCTACACAAATTCAGCAAGCTGTTTCATCTTCCTTAAACAGAGCTGCATACAGAAGTTGAGATAATGAGAAAGAAGTAGGGTCTAATCAGTGTTTATCTGTTAATGTTTATGGTCCTTTCATCTGTTTAAAGCTTTAAAAATGATTACTGGTTAGAAATGTTATAGGATTCTACTTTAAGCATGGCAGAAAAAAAAAGTTGCTGCAAAATTTCTTGTGACAGCCAGCAACTAGAATTCTACAATAGCGCTGCAGGAGTAGTAAAACCAAAAAAAAAAAAGTTGTCCTGTGCAGTGTTGCGAGTGGATGTCCTTGCATCTAATGCTCAATTTTGCGTGTGTGTGCATATTTGTGTGAAGGTATATAGATACCTCCTTCGTAGTAATGTTGTGAGGAATCCTCATAAGGCCTATCGTAGCCTTGTTCAGGATACGATGGTTGCTGATAACCGTAATCATTATGACCTACATCAATTTGACAAGAAGATAGGAAGAAATGTTAATGCCCTCGGCTAAAACGGTTGAAAGATAAAATTCAATAAAAATAGTTGTCAAAAGTAAAAAAAAATGTATACATTAAAATATACACCATTTCTATATTTTCAGAGTACAAAAACGTACACCAATGTGTGAATGTAACCACCAACATTGTTTTCATGTTTTCAACTTTTCTAAAAAGTAAAAAAAATCTCCATGTCTCCCATTAAGTACATCATTAGAGATCAAAGCTCTTTGCTTACATCTTTTTGTGATATAAAACTGGAATGCATGCTGGAAAGATGTTTTAGTGACTTCTTTGATGTATTTATCCTCAATGCAAAACCGACTGCTTACCAGTATTGATCATAGGTATGACTTGTTTTTACGTTTCTGGAACATCAAAAAATGAAAATGAAGTATGGAGTATGGCAGGGTTTCCATCAGAATTCTTCACGTGCTTTTGGGGGAATGGGGATGGAGAGTCTAAATAATAAGTGTGCTGCAACCTGATTTAAAGACTTTAATTTCAATTGAAGTTTATTTTGTCCCGCAGTTCCAAAATAACCAGGAGAAAAATTCAATGAATGTGAACTTCATTTGTATTTTTTCCCACAGCAGGAAGGTGCCATTATTTTCTGTCAGTAACTCATCCACCAAAGTGAAAAAAATCAGAATGGAATAAATATAATCATATGAAGAAAAGTTTCAAAGCATCCATCATGGGGTCCAAAATTCTACTAAAGAAACAGGAATCATCTATATCACCACCTGCATCTCCAAACACTGCACTACTACTACTAATTTTGGCTTACTATATACAAAGTCCAGCCAAAATTGACCTTTTAAGCTATCTTCTAATACTCTTCTGCATACGCATTGCCACTCTAGTCTCTCAAATTGCTCGACACCCTCGGGAACATAAATGAAGTTCTCATTTATGAAAGTTGGTCTAATTCTTCTTGGAACTCTGAGACAATCTAAACTATATTTCCTGTAAGGCACACCACTAAGAGACTACTGCTGAAAAAGATCAGAAATACATTGTTGACAGCTTTGCATTTCATAGTGTGGTATCCAATTTACATATTGCACATTCCAGATTAACGTATTATAGTGTAGTTTGTGAGTTTTAACTTTCTCTCAAACACGAATTGTCCTTAGTGCCAAGAGTTTTTATAACAGATTTTAAGAAACATTCCTTTCAGTCATAAGCTGTTCTGACCTATATCTGTCCCAGTGGCAATACGAATGACTTTAACAGTAATCCACTGCATCAGTACAGTGTTTTCTTAGTAGCATGTTTTAAATTTAAAAACTTATCTGAATTTATGCTACTGATTCAGATCATACTTTCCATAGACAAGCACATACAACTCAATAATTAACAGATGACTGTGTTATGACTGCGGTAATACTGTGCATTCACACCTTCTGGAGCTCCTTGTCCACCATGACTGTACTGCTCCCCATAATAATCCTCTTGACCGGCATACTGCTGAGGTGGTCCTGCACACAGAGTGAAGTAAAGGGGATAATAAAGTTGCGCAACAGGACATCGCTCAAATAATGGCAGTACATGCATTCCTTAAATGGTAGCTGGTAGAGGTAAATAGCAAATACTAAGTGCTACATAACTTTATAACGTTTTCTGCTGACCGAGAGCGGTGTGACATATTAGCCATCCACCTGCATTTCTAAACCCCCCCCCCTTCCCCCTGTTAAATGTGAAAGCAGCCTGTCCTAACACCATGCAGGAAGATCCACCTTCCCCCTCCGAGCACTCTGTGGACTGCTTGCACCTCCACTCTGGCCCAGTTGTCCCTCACAGCCTCTGCTGGGAACCAGCTGTGTAATAATGAGCCTGAGAGGTAACCATGCCTTTGAGACAGGCCTGCACCCTGACCCTGTCCCAGACAGCTGATCTGCTCTCGATGGGAGAAAAAACAAGGAACACGTGGAAACAATAGTTTTGAAAAGACAAAAAGCCCTGTGACAACTGTGTAACATATTGTTGATAAAGTGCCTAGAAATCCAAATGAATATTGGTTTAATGTTACTTTCATCAAAAGGTTCATATTTCCACCTACACAGCCCGTATGTACATTTCAGGGATATCACACTTTAATATGTTTTTCTAAGTCTAGCATTCCAAAATAGAAATGTAAAATCGTGTAACATACACTCGATTGATAAATCATAACAGTGACATTCACTCAGACCATATACATTGAAAAATCTTAGTGTCAAATCGTTTGCAATTCAGATTTTGAAGGGGATAGAAACACACTAAGATGTATCACTGTGCAGTGCTCATGGATATGATGTGTGCTACAACAAATATCATTAGTACCTTAGGCATAAATGATGCACTGTGAATGCTCTTGTCCCGAAGCACACAGAAGAATAAGACTTGATGCTTTATGTATAAAGCAGCTGCTAAGAAATGAGGGCCCATGGTGAAACAGTCAGCAAAGAGACAGGAAAGTAAACCCACAGAAATGGACCTAGAGCCCCTGCCAGACTTACCTTGCTGAGGTGGTCTGTATGGAGGCATGGGTCTCTGTCCCATGACATGGTTTCCTTGGCCCATCATGGTCATGGGGTTCTGCTGGCCCTGATAGTGCTGTGCCCCTCCCTGAGCTATGTTATACTGTTGTGAGGGCGGCTGCTGGTGCATTATGGGGCCTGGAAACACATAAATAACCACAGTTCCATCACCTCTCTGAGAATCCACTGAGCATTTAACGTTCACTAGAAAATCTTTCACTTTGACGTGGTTACCTGAGCAAGCTAAAGCAGCGGTCAGTAGCCTTTGCATCACAAAGACAGAAAAAACGTTAAAAAGGAGTTTTGTTTTTTACTACCGATAGTCCCCCAAAATTGAATCAGTTCCAATACTTTTTTTTAGAAGAAAAAAAAAACATTCTTCACAAAAGCAGGTTTTAAACAAGTTTCATTCTTGGATAAGGAAACCCCCAAGTCTTTCCTCAGTCCGAAAAACAAAGAGAGTACCTTGGCTAGGCTGCATGTTCATGTTGGGTCGAGGGCCATAATTACCCATCGGCTGTCCCGGATTCATGCTCATCTGGCTTTGCACGGCCATGCTCTGTGAGGAAGGAACTGTGTGGTTGTAGCCCCCCATGGATCCGTGGCTGGTGGGCGGCATGTTTATTGAGCTGTTGGCCATGCTGGGCTGGCTGGGTCCAGGTGCTTGCATGGCCATGTGATTTGGCCCTTGAGACAGAGCAAACAGACTTTAGAAGCTTTGTCTTTGACCGGGAAAAAAACCCAAAACATTTCTTATGTGTTGCTACTGACATGCACTAAAAAGGTTTGTATGTAAAAATCAATATAGGGACTTATATTTCTCTGCTTTATTGCGTTTGTGTGACAGAAGGCTCGGTGCCATATACAGTGGCACAAAGAAATACTGGTTGTTTAAACGCTGAATGAGAAAATAAAGGCTTAAATATAAACAGGTGGTGCTTCACATGCAGATAAATCAGTGTCAATCTTAATCAAAGGAGGTTACTTTAAGCTTCTTTTAACTTTAAGTGTTTCTCTGATCTGTTAATGTTAACATCACATTTTCAGCCATTTTCCTTTATATGAAAAATAAGCAAGATTCTCTTCCACCTCATCAATAAAACCCCGGTGTAAATGGCATAAAACCCTCCCCCACAGAGATTCTATCTAATAGCATGCCCTTTGTGATCTAGGCCCTGGCTTTTTGGGAGGTGTGGTTTTTCTCCCAAAAGCTAAGCCTCACAGTAAATTAATTAAAAATGTAAAGATGGCATAACTTTCTTTTCTAACTTGAAAAGGATACCCATGATTCCTATAAACAGAAACTAAGGGACCTTTCAGTGGCCTATAAAAAAATACCTCCACACATAACAATACACACTTTTACATCAGTATAGCTGACATTCTGTAAATATATAGACCAACATAAGAGTACCAGTTACTCCACTGAACTACAGTACAGAAACCTATTCCCAGGTTTAGACAGGGTGTAATATGCAAATGCCTCATTAAATCAGTCCTTTTAAGCAGACTAAACAGATAAGGATTACTTTCAAATAAATAAACGTTATATTCAAGCTCATGCATAATTAACAGACATGGGTATGTAATGAATGATACAAAAAGGAAGAAGCATTACAGCAGCTTTACACCTAGAGGGACTCCTCTGCTTTCAACTGCCTGCAGCCTGGTGTACTCTGAATAATTTCCTTCTTTATCTAGGTGTAGCAGTGCATACATATTTAATCCAATTTTTTCATCTGTGCAAACAGCAACCTTCTGTTATATATTGCATATTTACCTTCACTACAAAGGTAGTTTTCATAGTATGTATAGTGAACTTACTACAATACAAATCTCAAAGCATGAGAAACATTCAAGAGGAGTTAAAGAGATGCTACTGATATTCTGAAAACTGCCTTTTGGAATGTTCCTAATGTGAAGAAAGCACCACACGTTAGTCCTTAACACGTAAAGTCTTGACGTCGGATGAATGCAGATTCCTTATGAGATGATTTTGTAATGGAAATATAACAACACTGGTGCACTGGGGAGTGAAAGGCTCAAAGTGTGTTCCCTGGTCATTCCCCAGAGCCAACAACTCCAATTGCCCTAGCAGAAGGATAACCAGATGAATATAAAATAAAATGTTCATTTAAAAAAAAAATCAGGCATCAGGTCTGCAAAGTTACCTATTGAAAAGTGTTAAAAAATCATTACAAAAATCAAAGTGACTATGGGCATCTTTATCTGGGTTTTCCTGACACCAGCAATAGCTAAATTGCGCTCCATTTCCTCTCCACCTAGTCCATGCAAGGACAGATAAAAAAAATCAATTACCCAATTAAAATCTGTACACCAGCAGCAGCAGCAGCACGCTGTCAGAATTTACAACACAGACCCTCGTGCTGATGGCTACAACAGCAGATATAATGTGCCAATAACAGTGCACAGTCTCATCCCACTACACTGCTGACTAATTTTTAACACCCTTTACCTAAAATTATTAACAGCAAAATGGAAAATTTTGTTGCAATACAGGTCCATCTTCCAACAAAAGTTTAAACTCTCGATTCTTATACTTGATGTTTCAAACATCATGCTTTATTCACTTTAAATGTCCAATCTGCGCATTCTGCCGCATCACCAGTAATCCTTATTTGTTTGAAGTTTCATGAATGGAAAGAATTCTCACGAGCAGTACTGTTGCAATTGACTTGCTGCTTTAACTTCCTGTCAATACTCCTACACATGGCAAGAAAATGATGTAATTACTGTATGCAGATCAGCAGCACTCTTCACACGACATCTGTGACTGATAAAAGTCACAGTCAGAAATAAAAGTCAAAGAGCCCTGTATTCAGACAACATGGGTGCTTATCATCTCCATAGGAAGCGATGGAGATTTGAGCAGTGAAATGTTTTGAATACAGAGCCGCCAATTTGTTACATTGTAAAACACAGGATATATTTTTTTTGTTGATGATATATGTAAAACAATTAAGCATACAGATTTAACATTTACACTCAACCATTAACTCTTCCACCTTACCCTTCTCAATAACAAAGACATAAATGCAGATAAAGGTTCTATACTGTGAAGCAAAAGGAAGAAAAAGTCATTAAAAGTTTCCCCTTGTATCGTGTCCAAAAAGGACACATCCAGTCTTGATGGCTAATTCCAACATTATAATGCCCTCTGATATATTTAGGCAGGAGGATAAAGCAGCTGAATATTCATTATCTCAAGGACTCATCAATTCTTGCCAAAAAAAAACCCTCTTCTGCCTATCCTACTGTGAGCCTGTGCACAGACTAGTTACAGCCAGTTTTGCTCATCACAGGAATGTTATGTCTCAGCTAAATCAAAGCCCACTGGCAGTCTGGTGAACAGCGAGCAAGGGTCACGTAGGACTGAAGCGAACACACACACACAAAAAGAAACGGCGCATCTTCCCTTAGGAACACTCGGAGCAGACCTGTCATCAGAAATGTAGCCCCCCCTGGGGCCCAGGATGCTGCTGGGTTGCTAGGCGACCCCCATGCCATCAGAGCCGCTGGAGAGGAACTTACCAGGCATCTGTCCATTCATCTGGTTCTGCATGTGAGAGGCAGGAGGCCCACTGCCAACCATCCCTTCTGAGGGCATGCTGTGGCCATGCGGGGGCTGGGCAGCGCCACTCTGATTCATGCCCCCTGGGCCCATGGGCATACTCTGTGAGGGGGGCTAGCAGCAGCAGCACACAAAAATGAGAAACAACAGGGAAACAAAGAAAGCATTTGAATTGAAGACTTAATGGACTTTTGAGCACTATTAAAGAGAGAACATGCCAGAGAGAAGATGGGGGAGCATGATGGGACGGAGTAATGTAGGTGGAAGGGCAAGCAGGGCTGCAGCGTTCAATGCTGTCAAGAAATACAGGCAACTACAAACATCATCCAACAGATCTCAGCTCTGCCCTGAGGGGGCGCCCTCCAAGGAATGAGAATGCACTTCAATTATCAGAACCATTTAATTCTTGGTGTTTCTACGAGCAAGAGGTAATCACCAGAGCAAAACTGTAAATAATGGCCCAGGAGGGAGCTATTAAGAAGCAAGTACTTGATTGAGCTGGGCGGAGCAGAACACTGCTCAATGCAGCACTTTGCATTCAATTTCGGAGAAATGATATCTGGTGGTCCGGGATTAGTTCAAGGCGGATGGTTATTTATTTTATAAAAAGGCAACCGTAATCAGAACTACTGATCATAGATTGAGCCACATGTCTCTCTCTCTCTCACCCACCATGGCAGGGCTGAAACAAGTTTAGCGCAGAAGCTATTTCTTTATCCGTCACCACCTGGGAGGCTTCAGATTTCAAGATTTTTTCCCTACATATAAACACTGTGCTGTTGCGTTTTTAATGCTTTTGCTGTAGGAAACCAGAAGGCAACAAACGTATGTCCCAAAATGAAAAGAAATGCATAATTCTGACACTAATGTCCAGACAGTCAATTTGTCAGAGCAGAGCCAATGCCTGTCAATCTATCTTTGTTCATAGGCGAATCAATGACTACTTGATTCAGAACAGGTGAATGTCTCAGCCATTTCTCAACACAGCTCTTTAGTTGCCCATTGCCTTGAAATTATCTTTAGGGCTTTTCTGTTTTAGAAAACCAAACAGCAAACTGGACAATGGAAAACTGTTTTCAAAGCTATGCATCAAGGATTTCTATATTCCAAAGAACAATCACTGAAAACTAGAATTGTGAAGTTTATACATGATATAAACATGCCCTCTACAAATAACCCAGCCAATGGATGAACCATGTTGGAGGAGCAAAGGGCTGCATGATGTATTCAATATATGCAAATGAAAAATATTCACAAATAATTGCAAAGATAGAGATGATATGGCATGTAAGAAGAGTAGAGAGAAGTTGTTCATCAGTGTTATCCTCACAGAGAATGTACCAAAATCCCCAAAACCTCCAAAAATGAAAAATAAAACAGGAAAGGAACCTTGGTTTAAAAGAACCCCAGCTGAAGCAGACAAACACTGTTAAAATAAACTTAACCCTAAAATGTCCAATTTACAGATCTTCATCTTTTCAAATGATACACCTGCTTAATGAATTGTTAAGTGCTTACTCGTTCCCTCTGGCAAATTATTCCTAAAACCCTGTCCAGCATATATGAATGACCTGTATGGTGAGGATAACTTCTCAGTATTTTAATAAAGGCTCTAAAGAATTGCTGAAAGCTGAAGGACATGCATGAAGTACACAGGCATATAATCCATTTTTCATTAATTAAGTTGGTAAAATGTTTCCCAATGTGGTTGAAGGTCCTGTACCTACTGTCAAAAATTTTAGTTTTATCATCATTAAACCTGATATAGATACTCACTTCATGCTTTACCTCTGTGGTGGGTGTTTCAGACCTCTGAAATCAAGTACAGAAAATCTAGATGAATGACTAACCTTCAACAAACAACTGGCATTGCTCATTGTACTAGAATGTAATTAGTTTTAATCACTCACTGAAGGATTTTTACATTTCTGGAATCTTAAATGGCCATTAAAAAGTCTCCATCATACCTTCTTTCTAAAAAAAGAGGTTTAAAAATTTACATATTTCATATGTTAAATACCTTCTCTTAAAAAATGTTTTATACAGTAATATTTCAATAAACATTATATATTACACTTTGGATAAGTTACAAAATCAAACCTATTTTTTCTTGAGCTGTCAAGAATAAACAGTTAGTTCATTAAAAACAATTTACAATTGCAAATTAAAACGTTTTAAATTCAATTAGATTTTTAAATGTAAAAATAATACCCACATGAAAGTCCAGTCTACCTTTCCTAGAATCATTTCAAAACATTGCCTAAAAACTGACACTGACCACAAATGTAAACCACTACCTAGTGACATGTTCTGATTTCTCAAAATTACCATTTCATTTTAATTACACTGTAACTGAACTTTGCTGTATACATTCCTGATACTTCAACCACTGGTAAATAATAGCAGTGAGGTAATTATGGAAACAAAGGAAGAAAAAAAGGAAATATAATGCAAATTATTCATGATCAGTTATCTTTTTTCTAAAAATAAAATGTTAAATAAACAGTATTCTACCAACGTGATACAATGAGATTGGTTGTTAGGAATGCCACTACACCAACTCAAAGAATACTTAAGCAGCGCTAACACTTCATAGATTTAAGTAAACTGAAGAGTGTGGCTTCTGAGATGGAAATCTCACATGTCAGGTATAAAGAAACCACAGCTTAACAGTAAACTTTAGGTAATGAAGGGAAAGCTCATCAACAGATGGCAGGCAAACTTCATGCTTCCCCCAGTTGTGTATGTAAAAAGGCAAGCAGAATTCACAACACTGGTACTCTTGTGAACAGAAGAGACAGAGGAAGGAAATCCAAGCTCTCAAAATCTGATGTCAAGTTCTTCAGAGTAAACATTCTCCCTGATAGGAGATACAGATCTTGTGAATGATCCTGCTGCAAGGACAGAGGGGTAGCATTTCTAAAGAACATAAAAGATGTACATTAACACAAAATGATCTCAATGGACTTGTAGCTACTCAAAAAACATCTCTGAAGTGTAAACAAACATGAAAAAGATGGTCTTTAAAGACAAGCTTGAGCTATTAGGCAATAATCTACAGTAGTTTTTTCCAAAGCAGAGTATCAAGCAGTAAAACAGTGTGCAACAGCCACAGTGAAGTATGGTGGATCTCAGACAAGAGTGTCAGGTACTAAGATAAAACTGAGGGAGACCTGAGTGCTACCAGGTAGGTGAAGCCTCCAGTCCACCATGCCATCTCTTCCTAGATCCAGCAGATCTTACAGGTCACCTGAACCCGGCTATTTCTAAACACCCAAAAGAAATTTGTTTTGACCACTCAAGTAGGTGATTTGTTCAATTAAGCAGTTTAAACATCATCCAAAATGAAAACACCAGCACTCTGCAGCTCTCCAGCACTCCAGTTGGACATTTCTGACATTCCCCGACCAACTCACTTACGACACTGAGCAGAATTCAGATGTTCCAGGTCTTCTTAAAAGAGATTTTAAGGATAACCTATAAGACTTGCTGTGCTCTTCAGCAGCAGTATTAGCCAAAACTGAATTAAATATGTTCTAAAGCTTATTGGTACAGTATATTTTGCATTATATCCCAAATTTTGCCTTTACGTCCACAATCATTCTCACTACTGCCAGCTGTATGACTGTGCACTTCATACACGTTGCAATGTATACTCTTAATGTATACTCAATTCCAAAAGAAACAATCTATTTTTGAAATTGCCATGTGTTGTCTGATGGCTGACAGATACAGGAAAGTCTTGATCCTTTTTGCCATTCCATCATACCTTTCTGCATGTTATAATTCAAGAAATAGCTTAGAAATTTACATTTTAAAAATTCACTGTCCAATGCCAAGGTCATGTAAATCATTAGTACTAACACACTACACAGCTAGTTTCAATTGCTCTAGAGTGCGCCGACAGTTGCCGTCATCACTCCAAGATCACACTATGGATTACTGGTGTCTTTCATTACCACCTGTAACAAAAGGCACATAATCAATCCAGAGATTGAAAGAGGTCCCTAACAAAGGCACGTCTCATATTGATGAAACTGCTTTACAATTCCTGACACAGCTGGTCCCTAGCTGGTATCTACTGAACTACTGTCAGCCTAGATATAAGTCTGGGCGTGTGGACCATTTCACACTCCAAACGTTGCTCTGTGCCGGGCATGCTACAATGACGCAGTTTGCATTATTATGCTGGAAAAAAATAAAAAATGACAAACAGATCTTGAGAAAGAGCAGTAAATCCAAGCATTGCATATGTTAATCAATAAAGATTTTCTGGAGAGAAATATTGTGTGCAGGATTGTGTATTTGTTTAGAGAGCTGTTCTTCGTTGGGAGTTGCTTTTCCCAGCACCACAAAATGTCTGCAAGCACTCCGCTGACAGTTATTTTTCCCTGACAACTGCATTATTTCATCAATGCAGCGCTCACTGCGATACGTCTGCTCCATGCTGCTCTGTGGTTTTGAAAGACAGCTGGCAGTCCTCTGTATCTACAAGGATGGCTCCTTAGGGCTCCCATGCAGCCAAACCTCTGGGCAAGTCCTAGCCGAAGCTCTGCGCTGTGGCCCAGATTACACAAGAAGCCCAGGTCATGTCACGGTGCTGATTCTGACTAGGATTCTAGCAACAGCTGCGCACAGCTGGCAAGGAGAGTAGCCAGGGTTTTCGCAGAACTGTGAGCAACATGAACTCCTGAGAAGGCCCAGGTACCTGCAGAATTGCAGGGATACCATTGAGGGAGATGTGCCAACTCTCCACTGAAGCACTGCCGACATCTCAATGTGAGAAATGTCTCTACATGTGTGCATTGGAGGACCATATCTATATGCTCCAAACCTCAACAGAGAAATACTTGTTTTGAACAATTCCCAAACAGGGTGGGTAATAAAAAACAATTGCAGATTCAAAATAGAAATGTTCCATTAGAAAAATAAGGTCTTGCCTTTGTCTATCATGCCAATTGGAGATTAAAAACCTACTACATGTTTATGCCTCATAACTGAAATATTTATCCCAATCAACACTGCAGGACGTTAGCTGGGCTTTTATTTGTACTGCAATTCTTTTGGAACTGAGCATATAAAACTACTGTCTGAAGTAACTGTTTTTTCAAGAGAAGGTATGTGGAACTGAAATTAATGATAAGGCAAAATGTTAAATACAATAACCCACTTCTGTAACGGACTTTCACTTAACTTAAGGTACAAGATATGCAACTCATATTCTACAAATTGACTGATGAAGGTACACCTGCCAATGTTTTTTTCTGCACAGGGTCTTAAAATCAGCCTTCTCAATCACCATAGGTGTCACGCTCTGCACGATGCCCAAAGACAAGCTATTATATGCCATTAAGACTACCTGCTCAGTTTTGTTTGGTATTGACGTGCACTTTTAAGCACTCTGGAAGACCGTAGCCATGTTGAGAACTGTTACTATTAAAATTGATCAAATTTCAGATGATATCAAGTTCAACGCTATTTTTAACCAGACAATTTTTCATTTCAAGACTACAGAAATATCGATGAACTGAAGACTATAGATTTAAGTTTTTGTTGTGTTAAATCTTACAGAAATTCTATGCAGAATAATTCATTGTTTTGTAAACTTTTTTACGTAGCTGAATCCTAATCTTGGCACTTGATACAATTACGGAAAACACATGCAGAAGTTTCTCAAACATATTTTACAATAAGTGTATGGTTTATAATTCACTATTGTACTGAAATGATTAAATTAGAAATAGAAAAAAACATGACATTTGAATCTGCAGAACTGATTCACACCTGCAGAAAAATAAAGGACAAAAATACTGTCCTTGATTTGGTAAGCAAAGATCTTTAAAAATGGATCCGTTTTTTTTGCCTGGCTCTGTCTTTGGTTATACAGACTTAGTGAAATAGCACTGCAGACTGGCAGGCAGGTTATTCTGGATCCAGATCAATACTAATGCTGACACAGAAATTTCCTAGGGCACTTTCTTTCAGTCTCCTGAAAGAAAAACATAAAAGCAAGTAAACAAAGCTCATGTTCTGAAGATGAAGATGTTTGCAGGCATCTATATTTTTAACAGTGCTAGTTTAAAAGAAAAGCTGAAGGTCGTTGTTTCCTTCTACACCAATACTCACAGCAGGCAGAAGAGACTGCATATTCTGATTTGAGTCTGCTATTGTGGCCAGGTAGACTAAATTTCTGTGCAACATCTGCTGATACCTGTTAAGAGGGAAAAAAAGTGTCTATGTATGTGCACATATTAATGTATCACACTATTATACTTAATATAATTCCAAATTACCATCAATAACAGGAAGATGTGGCTTTTTTCCTCACCTACAATACTTTAAACATATAAACATGGTTCTCTAGAACTTAGATATCTGGCACACAGTTATACAGTGCCTTGCAAAAGTATTCACTCCCTTTCAATGATGTTCCATGTTTTAATACACATTTCTAAGTAAATATTTTTAACCAGAATTTAAATGCTTAAACTGAACACTTCTATGGGTGAAGATAATGGTCATCACAAACTCCATAAACACCTAAAATCAAAATATGTTGGTTGCAACATTATTCAACCCCTTTCATCAAGGCTTCCCTATTCAGGCCTCAGCCATAGTCAGGAATCTGGGAGAATCACACTTGATCTAAGGTTCCTGCTGGTGTTAGTGGGGCCTGTAGGAGGCGCTCAACCTACAATCTGTGTGGGTCCTAATGCCCCAGTATAGTGATGGGGACACTATACTCTAAAAAAAGACACTAACTTATATTTTTAGCTACCTCTCATGGAAGAGAACATCAAAACACACAAAACAGCTCAAGACTTGACTGTTATGATCCTAAGTGTGCTCTTGTGTGTATTTCACAATTTCCCCAACACACATTAATGGTAAGACTATGATTATTTTCTCTTCACCTCATGGCACATGAAGATGAAGGGTTAGTTTATCTTTATCATATTAAGAAGAGTTTGTCATTAGGAATATTTTTCACAGGAATGGGTAAAGGTTTCTTCCATGCTGAAATGTAAAGCAAAGAAACACTATATTTGGGCTCAGAAGCCATCTTCAGATTATTATTATTATTATTTTTAACATTTACAATAACTGAGATACATTTCATTTGCAGATTATTAAATTGACTTTCTTCTAATTGTTTGTCAAATCATTTGCCTAGTTACAATCTTACTATGAAATGAAATGACAAAGGATACACAGTGAAAACTAAATGTGCAAAATATACAGCTTAACACAAAGACTTTATATATGGTTATAAGACAACATCATAAAGCTCTCCATTAATGTGAAACCTTTTTACTAACAGAAACTTAATGATAGGCAAATATTGTTACACACTCCATGATGTCAATACTTACTGTGAGCATTCTGCTGTTTTTCCTTTGCTCTGGAAGTCCATGATGCACTGAATAAGATGATTGTTCTCATCCAGTAACTGTAAAATCAAATGAAAACTATATAAAAACACATCTATTTTTAGTTTGCTTATGATCTTGTCATACTACATCACAGAACTTAAAGTTCTGTTTCAGTATTTGACAGCTAACATGTTCGTAACTGATCATGGTCAAATAAGTTGCATGCTTTTGTATTGAAGACAGGTCTCTGAATTGTTGAATAAAGCCCCATTAGTGCTTGATTTGTAAAGATACCAAGGAGCATCACAATCAAACAAGATACAAAAACTGGAAGCAATTCAGTTTTATTATTGCAGCGTCGGCAATAAATATAATGTGAAATTTAACATTATGGTGTTAAGAAATAGGACAGAGGTGTGAAAAACATGTTTTCAATACTGTTTTTCATATTCCACAAAACACTTAACTCTTTTTGAGCTGAGATTAATAATAAAACATGCTGCACAAGACTGTCACGTAAGGCTTCATAAAGGATCGAGAACTCAAAGCATAAGACATTAGTCAGGGCATGCAGAGCTCTTAATGTAGAGATACTGAGCAGGCTTCTGTAGGTAACTGTGAATGCCATCAAACTGTCACAGACCTGACCTGTAGAATCTTACAGAAAAAGATATTCAAGGTGATCATTTCACTGTTATGTAGGAGTAACCATCAACTGAGGTTTTGTTCTTTAGAAGGAAACTAGTTTCATACCCAACCAATCCGAACATCAATGGATATTATTCACATGTTGATTTATGACTGAGTATATGGTTCTCTTTACTGAAGAACCGACCATCAAACCAGGTTACTAATGCCAACTGACCCAGCTCAAGATCTGTTAAAGTGATCTAAACAGATCAACATGAAGGGCAAGGCAGCCTTACTCATTGCTATCCATTATGTTTCCCATAGCCATGCAGCAGTTGAGCATTATTAACTAAGGGCCAATTTCTTAGGACATTAACATGGAAGAGAATTTAATACATCCACCATACTGCTGTGCAAAGACAGGGATATCATTCATGCTTTATGCCAGCAGCCATATGCAACTCACAACTGACAACCCCCTGAAGCTCAGCAGGTGTGAGCCTGGCCAGTATCTGGATGGGAGACCTCCTGGGAAACACTAAGGTTGCTGCTGGAAGAGGTGTTAGTGGTGCCAGTAGGCATTGCTCATTCTGTGGTGTGTGTGGTTTCTAACGCCCCAGTATAGTGATGGGGACACTACACCGTAAAAAGGTGCTGTCCTTCAGATGGGATGTTAAACCGATGTCCCGACTCTCTGTGGTCATTAAAAATCCCAGGGTGTTTCTCGAAAAGAGTACGGTTGTTACTCCCATGTCCTGACCAAATTTCCCCCTGGCCTTTACCCATCATGGCCTCCTAAAAACCTCCATCTCTAAATCTCTTCATCACTCTGTTTTCCTCTCCACTGAGAGATGGTGTGTGGGGAGAGTACACGCAGTGTAGCGTTATCGCTTCCCCCATTTAAGCTAAAAATGAAAGCCAAATACGACTACATTTATTTGGATATTGATTAAATATTGTTGGTATTATGTTGTTTAATTTATCATACTAACCACTCTGCATGCAATAAACTTCAGTGCCAGAATGTTGAAAATACTAACATTACTGAGAGTGGACTGGTCATGAAATCACATAACCTGTTGAATGCCAAAACCCAGTGAAAATAAAAAAAACAACAACAAAGGAAACAAATATGTTTCCTACCATTATCAAGAAAATATGTTGATGTTGGAAGCAACACTAAGTCAGCACAATGGCAATCATCTTCGGCTCTGTACACAGCCAGAAATTTCTAATCCGGCAAGACGTTACAGCCAGTCTGTCGGTGATGGGAGACCACAGAACGATGGGCAAGTCCAGGTGTGATAGTCTGAGCAGGAGTGTCTAGTCAGTATAGAACCCCACTCCTCGAGATTCAAGGCAAAAAAACTGCTCATTGCTCCAATGAGCTGGTTCTGGAAGAAGCTCACTTGGCATCTTCCTGAGGGATCCTTCGGATATGACAACATTCCAGCAGGACTCACATCCTCATATTGACGGATGGGAATCCCACACTTACTCCATGGAAGCCCTACCCTGTAGACTTCAGCCCCTTTGAAAATGTGCGGGTTGAGCCGAGATGATGTGCGTTGGGTAGGCCAGGCCTCAGAGACCAGCAGGCAGGAAGACACACGTCCCAGCTCTCTGAGGGACACCAGACAGAATCCTACAGAGCAGGACCTGCAGCCTCGTGCCAGCTCGTGTTGCTTGCGACAGCGGCCACTCAGACAAACAGACTGGTCGAGAAACGTGGGAAAGCCGAGCTTGAACTGTTCAAACATGACTGTGTTCTACTGAGAAGAATTAAGAGAAAAGACCCAGAGAAAGAACCAGACTGGAAGGTATGACCAGCGTCAGGAGGACAAAAGGTTGGAATTTTACATTGGAACAGAAAAAACCGTTCAAAATTCTGAAAGTAACTGGTAACCCAAACAACGACTCCAAGCCCTTCAAGTGGAACTGGAACAAAAGGAAATACTCAGGATCGAAATCGCAAGGCTTGACCTGGGCCACAAACAGGAAGTAAGAGGAAGTGCTTCTCAGCAAAAGCCACTTCTCCACAAAGAGGCTCACCAGCCAAATTTCCAAGGCGTCCTTCGTGGAAGACAAAGGTCCTCGGATCAGCTAGCTACTTCGAAAACAAATGCGCCGAACTGAGCAAGTGTCTCATTCGTAACACCTCCCATTCCTAACACTCGTGACCAACAGATACAAAAACACCGAGATCCAAGTACTGCGGTGCCTCCAATCTTAAAACTCGAGCAAATACCTGTGGGAGCTTCGCTGCTTGGCTGTAAAGGAACAAGTAAAGGTGTATTCCACGCTGAAAGGAAATCGGTTTTTTTTCTAAAACTTTATTATGAACAGACTAAATTGAGTAGATTAGGCATTTTTTCCCCCAGTGGCAGCTTTGCGGTTAATTTTTTTAAAGAGGTGGCGAATATGACGATATGAGGTCAGATATTTTCCCGAGCAGGCAAGAAGGGCACCCCCCCCCCCGACTCCCGTCCGCACGTACAGCGCGGCCAGCAGTTCACAACAAAGGCTCAGACAGCGTCCAACTGAGCGCCTAGGCCTGCGCCCTTCCCGGCCCAATTCGTTCATTCCTCGGCCCACTCCGGGCGGCATCTAGACTGGTTTTAAATCCACCCCCCATCGCTGGCGCTTTTCTTGCGAGCGCCGCGCCTCGCTTCAGCAACATTATGACCCATTTCTCTCCGTCCTGCGACTCGACCTGCAGGCATCGCCACCCCCCTGCCCCGCCAAACAGCGCTGCCTTACCTTCTGGATGGCCGCCGGCGTGATATCATTCTTTCCACGCTGCCTGTGAGCTGCGAAAGCCACCGACATGATGATTTTCCTGTAATAAAAACAAAAGGGCAAAAGTAAAAAAAAATAAAACAGAAAGAGAGAGAGAAACCCCCCCAAAAATAACAATTCAGCGCAGCTCAGACCTCACCACTCGGGAGAACTGGAGGAGATTCTACAGTGCGCCCTTCCGTGTGCGGGGGGGGGGTGCAACTACACGAGAAATAGGACGTGGGGAAACCATCGACATTTCAAGCACCGACGGAATTTTATTTTTAAAGTTCAACTGTTACATAAACGAGTTCGCCGAAATAAGTCACTGAAAAGAATTCGATTAATGTTTGATTTCTCTAAAAGAAACCGCGCACCCCCCGGTGACGGTGCGAATGGTGTGCTCCCGGGCTGGGGGTTGCAGTGCGGTGCGACCCCATAGGGGGTTCATGGGCACTATGTGAGCAGCCTGCTGCACCGAGCAAGGGCTAAACACTGCCGGAGCAATAGACAACAGCGTTGTGCGTTCATTATGAAGGCCTCTGTGATATTAAATCCGACGTCTGTTCTAATGCAACAGCCACCCAAACCAGAGAGGGGAAGAATAGTCCCGCCAGCAGCATGTCCAGGGTGTCTACAGGCAGAGCTCAGGCGTTGGGGCCGCCTAAAATCATACTAACGCTGCAAAGTGTTTATTTCCTCTGCGTTTCTTTCTGTTATTGTAGCTACGGGTTAAAGGCGCGATCAGATGGTTTATTTAGAATAATACCTGATAGCGTTAAAAGTGATTTGCAGGCTAGGTTTAACGAGAGATATTCCCAGTTTCTGTGAAACAACAGTAATCTCTAGATGCTACAGGGGGGTCCCCGAAACTTTCTCCCCTCAAGTGGCATCTGCGCTCGGCTGGAAGCCTGGATTTACGGGGTCGTTTCACGAGGGGGGGGGACGACGACGTCATATTCATGTTTCACAGAGGGTTTTGGGATATCCCAAAAATCGTTAAGCAGTCGGCGCCGTGCTGATTTTAAACAGTCCAATATACTTTGTTTTAACAATCGCCTCTCCACGGCGCGGTGGAGAATAGCTGCAGGAAAGTTTCCTTCGCCGCCTCTCTCCTCTCTCACTCCCCCCGGGTCACGCAGGGAAGTGGTAGCGCCCGGGGTCACGGGGGCGGAGCGCCGCCCTGACCAGCGCCAGTCGTCAGCAGTCGCCGGTGTGAGTGAGAGCGCTTTCTGCCGGGCCGTGGGTGGTTTTTATGTTGCTAAAATCGGTACCGCATTTATCAGTGTAGGATGGCGGCCAGGTACGACAGAGCCATAACGGTCTTCTCTCCCGACGGCCACCTCTTCCAAGTGGAGTACGCGCAGGAGGCCGTGAAGAAGGGATCCACCGCTGTGAGTTTCGCTGTAAACGGCCCGGGGCGCCGCAACAGCTCTCGGGTTACTTCCACAAACAAAACAACACTCACCCCCCCCGTCAATTCGGGAAAACGCATGGCCGTTATTTTTGACTTCTTGTTAGTTAAAGGTGGAAATCTGCCTTTCTGGAACAGCAGGCGCTAGGAAGGCGGATCCGAGGCCTAACGTGCAGGCGGGCCGAGACGGAGGTTTTGCTTTGTGCGTCTAATGCTCTTGCTGGTGGCTCACTGGGGGAGGTGTTGGGTCAGTGCTAGTGCAGTCAGGTTTGCCTGGAAAGGTAAAGACATAATTGAACATGTTACTCCTCTTCCCGCTCGATAACTTACTCCCCAGAGAGCAAAACGTCTCTCGTTATTGGATGCTCAGCGGAGGAAAGGCTGACGGCCTTTAATATTAGCATCGCTCACGTATCTAACCATAAAATAACCACATGCCGAATGATGCATTTCTTTTTCTGGGAGCAGAACAAAAGAATAGATACTGGTACGTGTAAGAGAGAGGTTTTACGGGTTTGCGATGGTGTTACGAGCATGACGTATCATGAAAAGGGAGTACTTTGTTCTGACCCACATGAAATTGTATCATTCTGTGGCGGTGGTGGGCTGCATTAAACTTATTTAGCTTGAAGCAACTCAAATGCAGAGCACAGACGCTTAGTTCCTGCAGGTTGTTACGCTTTATACCTGTCATCTTCTCATCCTTGAAGTTAGTGTTGGCGAGAGAAGCCAGGACGCGAGTGGCTTGTTCTGTTGTTAGTCCACACAGTTGTGAGTGACTGTCATGTGAAGTACAGACTAAGTGTTTTTTTTTTTGTTGAGAGTGATTTTGTTAGTTTAGTTCTTGCAGGTTTCGTAAACTTTTCTGATCTCCTGCCTGACAGCAGACTGACAGGCGAAGTGTACCCAGTCCTGCTTCCAAACAAATACACCCTGATCTTAAGGACAGGGTCTGAGCAATTGGATGTTCTTACTTTTGGTATCTGATAAGTTCCCTGTGAAAAGCTTACTTACATTTATTCTTCCATCACCATTAAGAATCCTGAGGAGGTTTAGGATATTGCTCTTAGTGGGACGCTAGATTTTCTAGTGTCGGAGGAGGTGACTGTTACAGGTTTGCTTAATTATCTGTCCACTTGTGACCTATCCTGTTTGTGATAGGTGCACCCAGTATGGGATTAAAGACTAATATACACTATTATCGCTCTGAAAGATGGGAATTAGTACCTTTCAAAAAGTACTTTTCTCTTGACCTTTAGATATATCATTAGATTTTTTTTAATTTGTAAAAAAACTTCTTGGCTCTATATCCAGTTTTTGGAAGTTGAAAAGAAACGGTTTTCATTCTGATTTAGCTTGCTTCTTAATTGAATTAGCTTAATTGAGTCAATTGAACATCAATTTTGTGGTCTGAGGCATCTGATATATTGAATTTAGTTTAAAAGCTAAAACATGTAGGACTGTGGCCTAAGGGTACTGTTTATTTTGAACTGCTCTGAAAGAATATTTTGTCTGCCTTTAGGAATGTCTCTTAGTGTTATGTGACCTCTATTGTAATACGTGTAACCATCAGAAAATTTAGATTAATCAAAATCTACACTGCAATTATCCCAGTTTTATTTAATATATTATTTAATATATTTAGAAAATTCATATTTGAGTGCCTGTCTTAATACCTCAAAAACTGTATATTTCTTTCATCTTGTGTGATTGTGTTCAGTTAATGTACTGGAGAGTGAACTGCGTGAAGTTAGAACACCATGTTCTGAAATGCGGCAGTGTGATACTGTTTTTATTTTTTAACAGGTTGGAATTCGAGGGAGAGACATAGTTGTTCTTGGCGTGGAGAAGAAATCTGTTGCCAAGCTGCAGGAGGAAAGAACTGTTCGCAAAATCTGTGCACTTGATGAACACGTCTGTATGGCCTTCGCAGGTATGACATCATTGACAGTTGACTAAAAAGATAACTTAACGAGACAGTTGTGTTCAGAAGCTTATTTAAGTTAAAGCTGTGTTTAACAAACTGTTACTCAACAGTAAAATCTTTCTCGTTCCCAAACCATGTAACTTAGAAAAAGGTGTTTCAGGCCTGCACAAGGACTGTATGCAATTGATTTATTTCAGTTCTAATAAGTTTGTAAGAAAATTTAAAATCAAGTAATACAGGGGGTCTCCTTTTAATGTCCTTGACAGGGACTATAAAACAACAATGTTAAGTGGGGAATTGTTGCCCATAGGCAATAATGGAGATAGGGCTTCATGGGGACCAGGAACAATATGTTGCACTTAAGAGTCCATGTATTGTAACAGTGTAAGTCTACAGTAGCGTACTTCAAGTTTTTAGAATGATTACTGTAATGACACATTGAGCAATTAAAATGTAGTAGTTCAGGTGGGTAGCTGCGTCAGCATGCGTAGACTGCAAAGGAACAAGTAATTGGTTTATTCCATGCTGAAAAATAGAAGAATAAACCAATTAAAATGTAGGTTAAGCTTGTTTGAAACATTTTAGAAACACTTAGGGTTTGAAAATGAATAATGAGAGAGATAGGGCTTGTGTGAGTGATGATCATTTTTAAACATACGTAATAGGTTTATTCTATGCTGAAAAGAGAAGAAAGAAAACGCAACATTTCGGCCGTGGAGCCTTCTTCAGGCAGAAGTGTATCATATATGTATAGGCCAAAATAAAAGAGATACTGCCTTCTAAATCAGTGTGATACAACCTGCAGTTAATTCTCTTTCTCTCTGCAAACCTAGATGCCACAAAATAAATGGGAGCCTCTCTCCCTATTCTAAAAATGCACCAACAAGCAGGAAAGACCATCTTTAACTGAGGTATCATTTACTCAGGAAACCAAATTCCCTAAAAACATAGAATAGCAAGCTCTCTCAAGCAGGGTTCAAATACTCAGCTCCAATTGGGTGTTGTTTGGATGATCGTGAAGTAGGGGCTGTTGCCTGGCGCAAACTTCAAGTTCCAACACCCCTGGGCTCCTCTCTCTACTCTCCTTTGTCTCCCTTTTCTGTGGTCTTAATGTGATCTTATGTGGTTGTTTCTGGACTGCTCATTGACAATCATTTGCTCACAACTTAATTAACTAGTTAAACCAAGGTAAATTTCTGACCAGGGGATCCCCTATATCTCGGCAAATATCCCTCCCGCTTTGAAGTCTGATGTGTTGTTCCACTGCCAGGGGTCACATTTTATCTAAACTCTTAGAGATACTTTCTAGCCACCTATAGCTGTTACACTATTTTGCAATGATTTTACTATAAATTTTCCAGTTTTTACTCTCTGATTCTACTTTAATGTTTGAAAGTGGAGTTTGCCCTTTGGGCATAAAGTCAGGGAATTTTTGCATACACAGTCACAAAGTGTCAGTGACGTAACAGCAGGAGACTCCCTGGACTTGTTGTGGAACGCTTATGGGTAGCCGTTTATCGTGCAATAAGAAAGGTTGTGTTTGGGCAGGGGGAAAGCAATCAAACTGTTCAAAATCGGGTCACTGACAAATGTTTCAGACGCTCGCCATGTTAAAACTCCAATGCTAATTCTAAATGTTTTTTGTGGAAGGTGTCAGTGTCTGTTTTAAATGTTTTTTTTTTTGCTCCAGGGTTGACAGCAGATGCGCGCATAGTGATTAACAGAGCAAGGGTTGAATGCCAAAGTCACAGGCTTACTGTGGAGGATCCGGTTACAGTGGAGTACATCACTCGCTACATAGCAACCCTGAAACAGGTAAACAGAAAGCTCACTATACCATTTAATACACCATTTTATCCACCTATGACTTTAACTGTTTCCTAGAACATAACTGTACTTAATATAATGTGTACAGTTCTCACAACAAACTGAATTGTACTTGCAGTATGTGCTGCATGAGAAATATTGCATAAGAAAGGTTACAAATGAGTAGCCATCTTGCCTGTTTGGTGGTAGGTTTGCTAATTCATCTGAGGATCATGTCCAACTGTTTCTCAGAATAAAATAGGCTGTTGGCTTTAACAGCATGGCTGGAAAGCTTGTTCCATTTTCCCTCTTTGTGTAAAGAAGTGTCTTCTGCTCTCAATTTTAAATTCCTTCCACATGGTTTTCATAATTGTATTCAAGAATAACAGTAAAACACAAGTTAACACATTTGTTCATAAAATACTGTTAAATACTGATCACCAGAAAATACTTCTTGAAGTATTCAAAGAATTGGACCCCTCCAGGAGAGTTCTGTGCAGTTGAGAATAATAATTTACCTGTGTCTCCTCAACAGCAGGCTGGGAATTAAACTGGCCTTCTTACCTCTTTCTCTGATATTCGCTTGTAAGGTTGTTTTTCCCTAATGCACACCTGTGATTTAATCAAAGTAGCAGTCAAAATAAATTGAATATCTAGAAAGTAATAAATATCTAGCAAATATCAACTGCCACTTCCTGGTTAACCGTATATTCATTTATTAGAGAAATTGAATGAGTGAAGTCGGCCTCAATTATACATTTTACTGTGCAGAGGACTATGTAGAGAAAACACCTCCTTTAAGCAAAAACAGGTATAAACTTAATTTGTACAGCAAGGTTAGTCTTTGTACAGATTTCTAATCATTGGTATAAACAACATAAAGAAAAAAAACAAGATTAGGAGTTTTTGCATCTTTTTTTTAAAAAAAGAAGTTACCTCTGTGCTGCAGAACACATTTTATGACTATGGCCTCATGTTTCTTCATTGTGTAATATTAAAATATTTTATTTATTGCAAGAAGTAAAAGACATAAAGATGTTCTTGCTTTAAACTTAAGTTCTGTTGTATTGTTTGCAAGAGTCTTCAAAAATGGACTAAATATTTTTCATTTAAGCGCTATACTCAGAGCAATGGACGCAGGCCGTTTGGCATCTCCGCCTTGATTGTGGGCTTTGATTATGACGGAACTCCAAGGTTGTATCAGACTGACCCTTCAGGAACTTACCATGCTTGGAAGGTAAGCATATCATGTACAGCTTGGACCTTTTTTCTGCATTGTGTGACCTTAATTTCTAAACTATTCTATAGCATTATATTACGATTTTTGATTTACAGGTTATTTCACAAGTAAATTATGGGACAAGCTCACAGTGGCACAAGTAGTGAGAGGCATGAAAAACTTCTGCAAATGCTATTGGTTTGGATACTAGTTTGCATTTTGACAAAACATATCCTTAATTACTCTTGTTATACCCAGTCACTTGTGTTTGTTCACAGCTTGGCTAGTAACCGTGAACCATACAACCCCACAGAGGAAAATGAGGAACTGTAGGCAGGTTGCTCCATCCAGCTCGCCTTTGTGCCGTTAGTTTTTCCAAACACAGGCCACACCGCCCTGACTTGAGTAAGGTACCTCCTTTGCCAGCAGCACAGCATGCCTGTAGTTGCTGTGTCACTTTGAGCCAAAGAGGCAGTTAAACACCTGTTGCTCTTGGAGGCTCACAGTTGCCTTTCTTACTGACATGACTCAGCTTTGAATCTATGATCATAAGCTCAGCCTGGGCTCAGGTCAGCACTTCTACCATTTGAGCCTGTTTATGGTGTTTCTAATTATTCTAACACCGTTCACTGTTGAATATATCTGCCATTTTTTGAAGAGCCGTGGGGTGTGATGTGAAGTCTGGCATACTCTCGCGATGTCATGTAGAAGTAGTTGTGAAGAATTCTGTTCAGGTTGTTGAGCCCTGATTGTTTTGTTGTGCCCTGTTAGGTCCTGCACAGGTAGGAGGGAAGAGATAGCAGAACAGGAGAGTTGGAGGGGAAAAAAAACAAAACAGAAAATAACAGAAGTTTTCCCTGATGAGTAATTAAAGCAGGACATCATGTGGTCCAAGCTAATGCCCAAATTAAATCAAAACTTCTGTCATATGAAGAACCTAGATGTTGAAAGTGGCTTCCTGTCAAACAGCAAGCTGGTGCTGAGCATTGATTTCAGTGTTTGCAGTTCACAGGCATTAGTGTTTTCATGTAATCAAGGCCCAAGGCAGAATTACCTCATCAAAGGAGGCTCATTTATGCCCCTAATTTATTCTTTTCTACGCATTTTGTCAGAAAATAAATATGCTTAGGCCTGGAAGTAGAAAACAAAATTGTGACACTTTGAAATGAGATATTTACTTGCAATGAAAAGAGGAGATAAATTAATACAACAATAAGAAACAATGGTGCAATAATAGTCATTTGACTTTCCAAAAATTCATTGTTTTGTGATTGTGGATTGTGAGTGTTTTGTCTTCATATTTTTAATAAAACACTGGAACATTTTGATTTGTTTACACAGTTTTCTGTAACGTCTCTCTCCTCTGTGGATAGGCAAACGCAATTGGCCGCAGTGCAAAGACAGTGAGAGAGTTCTTGGAAAAAAATTATACTGAGGAAGCTATTGCAACTGACAATGATGCCATCAAGCTTGCAATCAAAGCTTTGCTTGAGGTAAGCAAGCCTTGCGTGGTGCTGCGATGCTGTTCTGTAGTTTGCTTTTTTTATCGAAAGCACAGTAATCTTGCTTATACAGGTTTGTAATAAATTACCTTTATTTGCAGGTCGTGCAGTCTGGTGGAAAGAACATTGAACTTGCTGTCATCAGAAGGAATCAGCCCTTAAAGGTATGAGTATGGAAGATTTAACCAGTTGCTGCTGTGTTTTTCTGCGAAAGGAGAGTTTTATTCATTAAAAGTGTAATTGTCAATGCAAGCACCGTGCTTCTCCAATGTGTCCATGTGTCTCCATGAGCCACTTCCATACTGTGAGCTCCGCAGTGTCTCACAAGTGAGTTAAACATCAGCGTTTGTCCTCGGACTAGCAAACCTGTCAAAAAGACAATGTTCTGGAGGCACTGCACTACTGGAACCAGGTGCTTTCCCAGGCTCAAATGAACATCCTTCCGTGACAGGCCAAAAGAACTAAATCTGTTTAGTTCCAGAAAAGAGAGACGTACAGGGAGATCTGAACATATGTTCAACATTTTCAAAGGCTCTGACAAAGGCAACACATACTGCTGATTCTGAAGTCCTGAGACATGAACCAGAGGAAACCTGAACTGGAAGCTAAGGAAAGTGCTTTTAAAACAAAACCACACTCTTTTTTTAAAAACAAATAGTTTTAGGAGTCTGGGACATGTTACCCAGCTACCCTGTTGAAGCCCAGACTCTCCTCAGTTAAGAGCTGGTTAAAGATCCTTGGATCAGTTCACAAGACCAGGTAAACGGCCTCAATGCAGCAGCAACATAGAACCTTTCTGATGTTCTAAAGGAGCTGCTGTAGCGCTGGCTGGGGCTGATATTACATGCTACACCTGGCATGACCAGGCAGAGCGAGGTTACTGTGTGAAATCTCGGGAGCCTTGAAAGGTGACAATATAACCTTTGACCCACATTGGGTTTTTGTTTTTGGAAGCTGTGTAAGTGAATTGATAAGTTTTAAAATTTCTTTAAAGTTTCCTTGACATTTATAATGAGTCCACTGCAGCAAAGAGTCATGTCGTCTCGGTACAAGTTGAGGTATCAATACTTCACGTGATCTGTGATAAATGTTTGTTTTTTTCCCCCATAACTAAAATGGTTTGTTTATAATTATTGATTACTCAGGTGGTACAAAATGAGAAATATGTTTTAATGTAACTGCAAGTTTGATATAGAGCAATAGCTGTTGGGACTTGTTGGCTGTACCTGTGTTAAGAAGTAGACCGATTTTCTCAGTGGTGTAAGAATCTAATGTATTGTCTTTCCCTTTTGATTTTTCAAATGAAGATACTGGAGTCAAAAGAGATAGAAACACTGGTTGCCGAAATAGAGAAAGAAAAGGAAGAAGAGGCAGAGAAAAAGAAGCAGAAGAAAGCCACCTAAGTTTCCTGGACTGTTAATTCTGAGGCCTCTGCTCTTAGTTTTGAAGAACAAACACTACACCTTGGACTGCACATGTTATACATGGCTTACTAGACTTCTACAGTATTGTTGTTATTGATGAATAAGCTGAAAGAAAGGTCAAATAGTTCTGTATTGACTCCATGATAGGTTTTCCCTTTTGTCATTCTTAAGTATGACTTAATGTGGTTTTGGACACTACGCTGCTTTGTATGTCAGGAACTTTAGGCTGCATCCAATAAAGGCATTTGGTTGTTTGTATTATCTTAGTTTCAGTGGTTAATGAGTTTCTTTAGCATTTTCTTAATGATTGCTTCTAAACAAAACATCCTGAAGTTAATCTAAACACATAATGGCATATATGTGAGGCTTATTTTTGAGCAATTACTCTTTAAACCTCTAAACCAAAAGAACACACTAGTGTTTTTTCACCTCTTAAAATACTTTTAAGAGGTACCACAAAATGTTCTGTTCTTGAGAATGTTCTGTACTGCAGGGGGACCTGAATTTGACCTAAAGAATCAAAGAGTTAGGCATGATTAGCCCAGTGCAGTTCTTCAGCATCAACAAGTAGGCTGGACAGGTCAAATGGCCCCTCGTCTGAAACCCTGCTTACTGTTCGTTTCTGTAATTTATTGCACATAAGTGACAATTTTCTGATAATGTTACGATACAGCATTTGCATACTCTGCTGATTTGTGTCCTGGTAAGAGAATTATAAAATAACATATCATTAACCACTGCTTATTAACAAAAAGAGGTAGAGCTAAAGTATTCATGACAATTTGTGAAGAAATCAATAAGGCTATTAATTACGGATGGAATTGTTCCTTATACTTGCAGGAATAGCACAGCCATAAACCAGAAACTTCTCTGTTCACCAGTTTTGAAATCTATCTCCAAATATTTATGAAAGCCTGTGTGCCTGTGAGGGACAGGGGGCTGGGATAGGCTGTGACCCTGAACTGGATACAGCACTTAGAAAATGGATGGCTGGATACTTCACTAAAACCTGTTAAAAAACACTTATTTGACTGATATCCCTTCTAGGACACATTATTAGTTTGATGAGGAAATTGGTACCAGCAGTTAGGCAATAGTAGTAGTACTGAAATATTGACAACTCAGTGCAAGTCATAAAATAGGTGGTCAAATCCTATCTACAAAAGTGTAGTGAATAATAAAAATAATAATTCCTTACACTTACAGTATATAGTGCTTTTCTGAACACTGCTCAAAGTGCTTTACAGGTAATGGGGGATCCACTCCACCACCAGCGTGCAGCCCCACCTGGATGATGCGACAGCAGCCAGAGTGCACCAGTACTCTGTACTGGACTACTTTGTATCAGTTATTATATTATTTAAAATGTATTGCTTTTTAGAATAATTCCCAGGCAACCGACCATCGTGAACATTCAACGTTACAGCTCAGTGGGATGAATAGGTACTAATACCGTATGTTATATTAGTCATGTTATTGTACTAAGTCATGGAAAAAGCCTATTTCTACAAGTAAAGTATTGTAATATGGACGTGCTACGCTTATGTGCATCATTGTTCTAAAATATATCAAATCTACATAAACAGTATATAAGGGGAATCCAGCAGAGCTGTGTAACTATGGGAAATTATGGAGACTGTTTCCAGGGTCACTATGGGGAATACTGCAGAGGTGGAGAGATCTGTGTGGTTTGCCACAGCAAAACCCAAACTAGGCTGTCCTAAAATAATCAGCCTGAAAGTCACTACTCTGGAGCCCATGTTCACATTCCAGTGTACAGGAATTGCATTCCCTACAGGATTTTGAAGCTGGCACTCCAGCACCTGTCTGACTTACTGTCTGCCTGCTGCCCCCCTCGCAATCTCCGTTCCTCTGACTCTGGTCACCTCTCTGTCCCCCAGGCTTGGCTACACTTCTCCTGCTGCACCCCAGAGCGCTGGAGTTCCATCTCCAGGAACAGTAGACAGATACCTGCCCTGAGTGCAGACTGATAAGCTCTTCTCAGGAAGTGTTTTTTTTAACTTAGTGTCTGAGTCTGCTCCATTTTCTGATAGCCACAGATCCCCTGCCACACCTCTTGTGTTTCTTACTGTATATGCTTATTCTATAATTTGTTATTCTTATAACTGTTTTGTTCTTTTTTGCACCTATAAGGCACTTTGAGATACTTTTAAAAGTGCTATATAAAAGAAAATTATATTTTTTTGTGACAGAATGTTTCCTCTTTTTACCATGTATATGACTAACCAATTCCCCCATGTCTGTTTATTTTATATATATATATCTCCACTATAATGAAACAAAAGGTTTTTTGCAAAAATAATCAAGTTTAGGTGAGTAATTTAAGACTCTTTCGGACTACAGTCACGACATGCTCCCAATTTCAAGATAAACTTCGGCGTTGAACAGCTCTTTTGAGTCTCGCAAAGAACAATATTGAAAATGAAACAGGGTCCCGCTGGCTTCCTGTTAAGGTGAAGTCAGACGCGATACACGGTGAGCACAGCGCGCACACCTCCACCTGGCCAGCACGCCAGCGCGCGGGCTGGGCCGGGCGCGTGCCCGCCAGCCAGCGAGACGCGGCTCCGCGCGCTGCCGCACGCCCGGGCTGCCAATCAGCGCGCCCGGCTCCTCGGACCCCCCGGGGGAGTCGCGGCGCGGGCCCGCGGGCCGGCGCGTCTGCGCAGCTCCCACATGGCTTCAGTATATAAACATGGCCGTGCCGGCAGCGGGTGGGCAGTGGCGGACAGGCGGTTTCGGGAGGTAAAGTTTGACCGACTGTGACGGCGTGGGCTTCTGCTCTATCACTCCTCGGTTTCTTCTTGTGACTAGCGGCCGAGTGGGCTCGGATAAAGCTTAGCGTGTCAAGTCATGTGGTCTTGAAACCTACCGGTTGCTCCCATGACCATGTGTTTTCAGGGGCTGGCTCGCAGAGTACTAGACTACATTTAGGTGTAAATCGTTCCTCCATATACTGGACCTGGACAGACTAGCAGTATTGTTCTTACTCATTATATACTAGAGGGCAGACGCTACTGTACGTTGTGTAATGTAGGTCGTGGTATAACGCGGAACTGTCCCGAGATAAGGGATATTAACTTTCTATGACGAGTCACTGTAGTCGAAACGATTTCCTAAGCCATATGGCGTAGTTCGTTTCCAGAATTGTTTTTACTCCGCTCCATAACCTGAGTTTAGGATGCGCATTTTATACTGAAATGTACTTTTACCACTCCACTTGTCGTGATGAAGTAAGATGTGTTAATGATCTTCATTTGTATCTGTTTTTTTTAATTTAGTAATCACCCGAGTAAACGGATTTCTTGTTACTTCAGCAAATGAAATACGAGAAGATGACAACCTCGGATGTAACAGTCAACCATTTGGAAATAACAAAAATCCAAGGGGAAGTACGCCAAACAAGTCAGGGTGACAGCGACGTGACGCCTAGCATCTCAGTGAATGAAGCTTCGTGTCAGTCGAATGGAAACGTTAATGTCAGCGGGTTCAAAGCTGGGCTTGTGCAGGCGCACCAGATGACCCCAGATGCTGCTGATGTCCGAGGAGTTTTGAATGGGCATGTAGCTGCTGCATCAGCTCCTGCAGAGGCAGAGCCTGTCACAAGTATCTCGAACCCTAGCCAGACTCTTGCCGCCAGCACCTATACAGCACAGCCTGCGGTCAAGCCTTCACCTGCTGCCTCTGTAGTGAATTCGGCCCCTGCACAAAAGTCCGCTATTGCCCCTGGTCAGGTAACTCTGAATATTATAAATCCTTCGGCAGCAGTGCAAGCACCTCTCAGCAGCACGGCATCCAAGATGGCACTAGGTGCGAGCCAGCTTGTCATGAGCTCACCGGCTGTCATAAGCACTAAAATAATTCAAGGCAGTTCTGCAGTGGCAGGTATAAGCAGCCAGCCCGTGTTTACGGTCAGCCCCCCAAGCCAGGCCAGGGTGACCATCAGTTTGGCGCCTGCGCCTCGCCCTGGAGTGCCCGCGGTGACCTCTGGTGCGCCTGCGCCTCGCCCTGGAGTGCC